TTTTGTTGCAGTTTTTGTTACAAAACTCATTTGTGTTTACATTTTTGTACTCAGTTACATCATCTTGAATGACACTCTTTTATTTTCTAGACCGGAATTTATTTTCCACTTCATAAGTGGATCAAATGTGAAGCTATTATTTTGTTCTTGTCTGGTTGTTGTTGTTTTGGGGCTAGGGATTAGGTCCCTGGTCTTGCACCATGTGCGACCACTGAGATGTATTGCAGCTCCTTTTTCTGGTTTTTTAAAAATTGCTTATGTTTTGGATCTTATCCCATAACTTAAGCTGTTGGTCTAGTTTGACTTTTTCTATATTGATGTTCAGCTGTCTCAGTAACTTTCTTTTCTTTTTTCTTTTTTTGGTAGACCATGAATCAAACTCAGAACCTTGTGCTTTGCGAGGCAAGCACTTATTCCACTGGGCTATCTCTCCAGCCTGTGTCTCAGTAAATTTCGTTTTCTTCTTTTCTTCTCTCTGCTTTTTTTTTCTTTTTTCTTTTTCTGTGCTGGCAATTACATCCGGGCCTCACACATACTGAACACGTGCTCTGTTCCTGAGTCACACATCCAGCCCTTTAGTAACTGGGTTCAAGTCCAGAGCCTCACACCTGCCAGGCAAATGCCCTGTCATGAATTACATCCCTAATCCACTCCAGTAACTTTTATTAGAGAATTCTTTTTTTGTTTCTTACAGCTTGAGATATATTAATTAATTATCAAAATGAATATAGAATTCTTATGCTACTGCTTTTTTTTTGAAAATTAACTCAATATTCTATGAGTTCCATTTATAATCTGTTCTGATTTTTTTGGTACCAGGAATTGAACTTGGGACCTTGTGCTTGCCAGGCAGGTGTTTATGTCACTGAGTTATCTGCCTGGCCCATTGTTCTGATTTAACAGAACATCTCTACTACCATTACTGTAAAAAAGTTTTGCATTCTCCTCTCTTACTCTTCTTTTTCCATTTCACTGTTAACTGGAATAGTTCTGTAACCTGCCTGACTTCTTGGGTGCAGTTTTGATCCTATGCAGCTGAGTGTTGAACTGCTTTTCTTTTGGGGGGGTGGTCTTAATGGGAGGGTGGCTGGTTAATAAGAAGACAAAGCTGAGAGTTTGAAACTTGTAAGGATCTTAGTTCAGCTCTGGACATGGGCTGCCCACTATCCTCTGTGCTCATCTTGTCATGATTATTGGAGGAAGCTATTCAGAGCACATACCATGGAGTGTTGATGTTGCATTTAAAAAAACAGGTAGCGTAGGTCTCATACTTAAACTCTGGTAAAGCAAGAGGGAAGAAGGCATACCTCATGAGATTGGGGTGCTTGTTCCACATGAGCAGCACTGAAAAGGTCTTGTGTCTCAGTGTTTCCAGAAGCCTTAGACCTGCTGTCAGGCCCATGGGGCAGGCCTTGGTAGCCTGGCCTGCTTCAGAGAAGGTGCCTGTGGTTGTTTGTAGTATGACCCTTTCCTGTGTGGCCATTCCTCTCTGGGTGTTAAGAAGCTTTTCTGTTTGATTATGGGCTTTGTGACAATATCAGGCAGCTGCCGGAACTGAGAATGACTGGCTGCTCACAATATTAAATCTCTGTGAAGTTCCCTAACAAGTCAGCCATTCTTTT